TGAGCAAAGTGCCCTGAAAACATTTATATGCTTACCCACGCTCTCCTTACCTGATCTAGATTTTGGCTACCTACCAACTGGCTTAGGTTTCGCTAGTTCTAGACGTGGTAATGACCTAATTCACTCTGCAAATAAGTGAAGACCTCAACTCGTAGCTATAAATTACAGGGAAAACAAACTGAGCTTTATGAAGCCACCTTGAATAGCTCAGCTTGTAGGTGGAGACTTCTGAGGCGTTTGGGGATCCTCCAATAATGAAATGCCCAGGCTCATAGCTCTTCCTATTAACCTTGAAGCGCCTGTCATCTTCAAGTTTAAGACTGCCGCCAAAGTACATAATCTAGCATCTCTCTCTACTCCTTTTAACTTCTCACCTTTCTCAAATCTCCTTTGTAAAAATTAGATAAGCGTCTTTACCTACCAAACAAGAAAATATATTTTTGTGTTGTTTTTACAATTTATTTTAAACTAATGACATTAAAATTGACAGGGCAAAAATAAAAAGAAATATCGTATAAGCAATAGAGACTATAGTTCCTGGATAGTCAAAACTGTAAACACTGGCATAGGTTTCTTTGTTATTGTTTAAGAAAATGTTCTCACATATATGAGTAATGATGCCTGAGGCTTGAGGAGACTAGTATGCAACAAACTTTTCAGTTACTGACACTGCAGGATCTGGTTAAATTGGGTTAGATTGGCTTTCCAGTAGGAAAACAAGGGGTCCCTTCACCATCATCCCCATACTGAAGCACTGTCAATATCTATAATGAAAGTGGGAAGTCTTGAAAGTCTTGATGTATGTTCAGTGACTTCTCTTCAAGAAGGGGTGTTTCAGGAGCTGAACTGCAGAAGGTCGCTCATGCTGGTCCCTAAAAGGGGAAAAACACGTTAGAAGCAACACCCAATAATGTGACTGCCAACTAGATCTACTTGACTTTTAAAGTGCCAACTTTCAGATGAAAGTACAACCTCTGCCAGTCAAAAAGGTTGAGTGCAGGCTCCAGTTTTCAACTGTGATCTTAAGCAAGTGATTCATACTCTTTCCTTATCAGTAAAATAGGAATAACAATAACTCAGGGGAATTAAATAATGTATGTACCACTTTTAAACAGTGTCTGGCACATAGTAGTTCAAAAAATAGTAGATATTATGATTAAAAAGTAGGCCCTATTTCTCCATTGTGGTTTTGTTCAATTTGGGGTACAGTTTATACACAAGTAAAATTCACACTTAGATGTACAGCTTAATGCACTTTTAATTAAAATTCAACTTACTTTTAAATTTTCAAGGCATTGCAATCCAGAATTGAAAAGCCGTTAAGAAGGAGACATTTAGATGTGCTTTGGTGCTTAATTGAAATAATCCCATTTGGGGCATTCTTGGAAGAGCATAAAGTAAAGGGAGGCAGTTGCTCAATTAGTACAGTTGTGGTTTTGTTGCCAATGAACCAGTCAATGAACTACTGAATCAGTCAATAGTTACCCGCAATGACCTATTCCAACGGCATTCTTTTGGTTAAACTGGCTATCTTTGGATAATTTTGGAAGCAAATGACCACCAAGAATAATCCAGGTGAAAAGTGGAAATAAAATAGTTTTAAAATAAAGTGATGATAAATCATTGTGAAATATAAACCTCTCTCTTCCTTGAGGCTCTTTCTCCTGCCTTCAAAAATATGCAGTCATCTCTCCAAACCAACTTTCCTTAATCTGGCCACCATGTCCAGCTGCCACCCTGTTTCTTCTATTCCTGCCAAATTTCCCTAACATAGCCAAATACAGTGACTTTTTTTCAACATTCATTATCTTAAATCCTTAACCATTTGGCCCACTCTTCTTTATATAGAAATTGTCCTCTTAAAATTAACCATGACCTCCTCGTTACGAAATTTAATGAGCTCATCGTCCTTGTCATCTCTGTAGCATTTGAAGTATTCACTATCCCCTCCTTCCGAAAACCATCTCTGCCTAGACAGGAGAAACTGTTCTTTTGGTTCTTCTACCTTGGGGCAACTCCCGTCCCTCCTCCTTTCTCTCCTGCCCTCCTGTCCTCCCTCCCTTTTTTTCCAGTTATGTGCTAGACTTGATACTGTATGCATATTGTTATCTTCTCCCATGAGCATTTTAAAAAACATTATCCTCAGCCCTCTAGTTTTTTTCATGACTATAGCTACCAGCCTTATGATTTTCAAATACACACCTCCCACCTTAATTGCTTTCCTGAGTCCAATACAATAGCTTCAAATCCTTCCTTAGAGGAAGGGGACTCTCTTCAACTTCCTCCCCTATTCCTCTTTCACGACCTTCTATTATAATTACTTCCATTTCCAGACTCAAAACCATAAAATCCTATCATCCTCCATCACCAAGTCCTGATTCACCGTCCCCTAAAATGTTCTGGAACCCTTATTACAGTCCCACTGCCTCCACCACCATCGAAGTCCAAGCTCTGGGTTCCCGCATGGCCTTCTAGTCTCAGGCAGCCTCTATTCGAGGTCTTTCAATGCATTGCCGTCTGACCTGCCTTCCCAAAGACTTTTTTATTCACGGCATTCTCTACCCCTAATATTTTCCAGACACCTGCTCCTCACTGCCTGTTGAAACAAAGCTAAACTCCTTGGCCTGTCTTCCCAGAACTTGCAGCCTGCCCATAGGAATACCCCCACCCATGCTCCTTACTGCTCCCTGAAATTCATTTCTGTTCTAGTCAATCCTTGTTCCTGGTCTATACTTCATCATCTCTACTTCTGACTCTTTAGAAATGCCTTAACTCTTTTATTTCTGACTATCCACACTCCAAGGAGTATTGTCATAGATATCAGGTGAGATTCTAGAGTCCTTAGGGTCTCTGCCATAGATTTTCAGGAGATAATTATATGCTTGTATATGACACAAATTAGGTATGGTGTATTAGTATTCTCCCTAACAGTTATTGACTGTGGAGCTCTAATTATGTAACCTATAGTCCACTAAGCAATTTGCATACACCATTTCACTTAATCTTCACAACAACCCTATGAATTAGCTATCTGTGATATGAGTTATGTGTTGCTTAGTTTATGAAGCAATGGTTCAAAAGAGCCATAAAAAAAGACTACCCTTTCTCTTTAAATCTCATGAGTAATGAAAACTTGAAAAAAATGTCAACTGCAAGTAATTTCTATGGATCAATTAATAGACAGTTGTTCAGTTCAGAACAAAGCAACTACAGTAGTTTTAAGAACTAAGACCAATCTCCCAAACTAACAGTACTGGTCCACATGATATTTCTAAAACCCTCAGGTCCTATCTATGGTTTTTGAGGGGGGGACGAAGGGGCAGTTCTGTGCCTGGGGCTCTGCCCACAAAATCAATACTGGAACACCTATGGTGTCTCTGCATCGAGGGATGCCCAAAACTGCACCCTTGGAGTTTGTGTTCCTGCCCTGGCCTCCATGATCCCCTGAAATCAACCAGGACAGGCTGATACACATGTACTGGGAGAGGGAGAGAGACAGGGAGACCTGTGGGTTCTGAGATTCATTCAGAAAGACAGAATGGGGCCAGCCAAGGGGCTCGTTGGTTAAGAGTTGGCTTGGAAGCGTGAGCTCTGAGCAGCAGGGCCGCCAGTTCGGATCCCACATAGGCCAGTGACACTGCACCCTCTACAGTTAAGACAGTGAACAACAGCTTGACCTGGAGCTGGGCTGCCATGAGTTGCCAGCGATGGCATAGGCTGCAGTGGGGCTGCAGTGGGCTGATGTAAGCTACCGTGAGTGGCCGGCAGCTGGCGTGAGCTGCCGTGAGCCACTGTGAGCGGCCATCCCATGGCTGACGACTGATCTGCCTCACCCGGGAAGAGTGCAATGATCATAATACCAACATGGGCCAGTGAAGTGACATCCTCCACAACTAGACTGAAGAACAAAAGGACAGCAACTTGTCTGTTTCCCTTCCCCAATTCCCCAACACTGTTCCCACTCCTAATTCCCCAAGGGAGAGGGGGAGACAGAATGAACCCCCTGGACACCAGATACGCTTGTTGAAAGCTGGGGCATTGCAATTTTTCATCTAGGAGTAAGAAAGCATGCTCCTCGAAAGGCAAGAAATTGTACTGGGGCCTCAGGCCTTCCTCATCCCGTAACGTTTCTATATATGTTGAGTCTCACTAGGTGGATAGATTTTAGGCTGTTCTGTATCATCCTAGAGGCTAGGTGGGTGGGCTTCAACACCCGTACCCTACTCTTTAGCTCTTCCCACCCACCAACCCACCCACCCACCCCCACACACATGTTAAACAGAATCATGTCTCCACTTTTATGTTTTACTTTTTGAATTAAGTTTTCATATAAGCAGAGAATGCCTGGCTAAGAAAAGATTGAAAACCACACAAGTGGGTAATCTCTGAAGTTCCTTACAGTTCTAACATTTTACCCAGCGTTTTATTCCATGGATACCAGGGGGGCATCAGAACAGGAGAAAAGAAGCAACTTTCTGGGGCTTTTCTGCTTCCTCAAATACTCCCCCACTTGATGCTTGAAATGCTCCAAGTAGAGATTTGTTCCTTTGGCTTAAAATGTTCATCCTCACTTTAAATGCAAGTATTTCTGGGGGAACCAAAACATTAAATGTCAGTCATGAATCAGTCAATTCATATCAATCCTTCGATATGAATGAATTTCTCACATAATTCCCGGAGAGCTGGTTTTAGGAAGGAAATGAGAACACTGGCTCCCTGAGAGGGAAGGCAGCTTAGGAAAGGGAAACCTAAGCACAGGTGATGTCATTTCACTTTTGCCAGTCCCTGGGGTGATGTCCCATGGATAAACAAGTAGATCTTCAGCAATTTTTGCGTACCCATTGACTTGGGGAAGAATTGTTAGGACCTGATAAGACATACAATTGAGGCATTTTCTTTCTACTTGAAGCATTAACCCCCCTATACACTGAACACAATCACCCAATATGGCTAGTGATGATTCCAGGCACAAAATCACTCCTTACTTGATTTCATTGGACAAGCAGAGCTTTGACTAGGTCACAAATTGATAGGGAAATGTCAACTGCTTGGAATCTCTGGGAATTTATCCTCCTCCTCCTGCTTTAAATTTCTTACCTCGTTAGGCACACATGCACAAAATCTGCTGCGTTTTCTGAGAAGTGTTCCGGCAAAGGAGGCATCAGCCCTCGGTGTGCCCCAATGTAAAACATGGCCGCCATTCTGTCCATGGAAGCCAGTGGAGGTTTCCCTGTGGCCATCTCAAACACAGTGCAGCCAATGCTCCAGATGTCCGACTTCCTTCCATAGCCAGACTCGTTGATGACTTCAGGGGCCATCCAATATGGAGTCCCATGCATGGACTTAAGCATGTCGCTGTGTGTGCCACTTAAGCCAGCCCAAGCCAAACGTTTGGCACAGCCAAAGTCGATCAGCTTTATTATTCCGGTGGGCATGAGCATAACATTATTTCCTTTGATATCTCGATGCACCACACAGTTCTCATGGAGATAAGCAACGCCTTGCAAAATTTGTTTTGTATATTTACAGAACACCATCTCAGGCAATGGCCCAAAACGATTGATAATACTAGAGATTGAGCCACCGGGAACAAACTCCATGAAAATGCTTACAATGTTCTCTGCCAAGCATGTCCCCAAATAGGCCACAATGTTGACATGTTTCAGTGCTTTGAGCAAATCCACTTCTTCTTGCAGTTTCCGGTATTCTTTTTCAGTAGCAAATTTATCAGAGGTATCCAAAGCCACTTGTTTTACAGCTATTAGCTGTCCTTGGCTAGTTAGACCACAATATACCTAGAAGAAAACCAGCATTTTATGATTAAATATAATCCAGTGTCCCATTGGAGCCGAAGTGGAGATGAGCAGCATGGTGAATGGTTATCATAATGGCTTGGAGTCAGGTGGCCTGGATTGGGTTAGAATCCTGGCTTCACCATTGGGTGTGTTGTATAATCTTTTTGACTTCAGTTTTTCCCATCTATAAAACTGAGCTAACAATACTTACCTCACAGATACCTATGATGACTATATGAGATGGTGGTTTGGGAAAGTTCCTCACCTAATAAATGAAATAGGGCTATTTCAGTGCTAAAGCTCTAAGGAGAGAGAGGAAGGCAGGTCCTGAGACAATCAGCAGTCAGCCTTGTCATGTGACTTCAATGGTTTCATGTCTTCCCACCTTCTCACTGATTCCTGAAATGTCCCCACTTAGAAATGTAACATGTTATGTCTGGGGGTTCAGTCTTTTCTTTACCAATTTATGTAAGTACTACCTACAGTGCTAGGACTTAAGGTGATCTTTTATACAATTCACAAAATGTAAGGAACGTCTTTATTTTTTGCCACTCAGCAATGGTTCTCCCAACTTCTGGTGACATATACTGAGCTACTGAACAAAGAGACTTCTTTCCCGGTGGATTTGGGACCTAGGAGGATGAGAGGCTAGAAATGCAATGGCCATTGTACCACCACATGGGGCCTGAGAATGAGAGCTGGAAGGAGAAATGATGAGATTTTTTTGGCCCCTGGAACCAGCTGTCTGGAGGCTAGACCTACTCCAGATCCTTCAGTTACATAAAGTAGTGAACATCCTTTTCCTTAAGCCGGTTTGGGTTGGGTTTCCTGTTACTTGCAACTGAAAGAGTTCTAAGTAAGAATACGGTGGGGAGTGGGGAAGGGAGGGCTCACAGGGAGGATTAAAGAAGAGGGAGGGGTCAAGGAGGAGTGGGAATTTTTGGTTTCATCTTGTTTCCTATTTAACTTACTGTGCCATAGGCTCCCTTCCCAAGGACCTCACCCTTGGTCCACAGGATAGGTTCTTCATACTTTAAGCTATTTTCAGAAAATACCTTCTTCTCATTGAGAAAATTCTCCTCCTCGTCATATATCCTGAACTCATGATTATGTCTCTAGAAGAATGAGGCAAAAGAAAAGTCACCATTAAACTCTGAGTCGTTGGGATGGAGAGAAGGGGTGAAGAATAGAGTCGAGTTTTCCTTTCTTCTAACTTTGGACCGACTAACTAAAGAAAGCCAAATATGTACCTCTAACTAATCACATGGGGTACCCCTTCTAGTTAGCTTGCCTACAGCTTCCCCATGCCAACAGCCTTCGATCAGGTCATACTTGAAGCCCTCCCTTTTTACCTCTATAAAACTTTCCCACTTCTCTGTCTGCCTTTGAGTCACTGCCAAATGCAAGTGATGGCGGCGGACTCCTTTGCTATAGTGAGCTCTGAATAAATAGCCTGTGTCTGCTCTTCCTTTATTTCCACAATACACACACATATATACATAAGCCTATATGCATACACTTATATACACATATACACACAAACATACATATAGATAGATACTCTCTCTCATGATGGCCACACGCAGCCATAACAAGTAAGTCTAGTGGGCAAGACCAGGTACAACAGACTGAAGATCCATGGCTCTCTAGACCCTTGATACTCAAAGGACAATCTACAGACCAGCTGTATCAACATCACCTTGGAACCTGTTAGATGCGCAGAATCTCAGGCCCAGACATACTGCATCAGTGACTACATTTTAACATGATCCCCAGGAGGTGTGCATTCACAGTAAACTTTGAGAGGCCTTGCCCTATAACTCAGGAAACAAGTGTCTCTTTGTAAACCTTAGACCATGTTTTCCAACTGGTTGATCAGGACCAAAAATGCTGTGTTTTGATCTCCTCTATTCTTAAAATTAAATGATGATGATGATGAAGATGATGATGCAGAGGCATGGTGAAGACCCTTTATGAACAAGACATCCTACAGGGTCACCTTCCTTGTGAATGAGCATGCTTGTGTTCCTCCTCTCAATCCTCTCACATTTCTATCCAAACTGAAATTTAAGGACTGCTTGGAAAAGAAAAGGTCACCAAAGGTCAGTTTTTGACTCTGTGATATCATTGTATTTGCTAGCTTATTTGCTTTCCTTCGATTTGAAAGGCAGAGTGGTAAACCCATGTTAGACACACAGACACACACATACCCCTATTTCCCACCAGAGCCTGGAGGCCTCTCTGAATCACAATTTATCTCCCAGAAGAGACCAAGATCACCATGAAGATAGGGCTGGCTTTTTAGGACAAGGAATAGTTCCACTGCAATGAAGTGATTCAGGGTGTGAGGCTGCCATCAGAATGCCTAGCCCCACCACTCTAACTGGGTGACTTTCTAAACCTCAATTTCCCCCTCTACAAAACGGGGACTTGTAAGCACCTTTAGTAATTTATCTCATAGAGCTGCTATGAAGCATATAAAGAAGACAATATGAACCATCTTGCTCATACATGGTAAGTTCTCAGTAAACCAAGTTTGGGTATAATTATTTACCTAGTGTATTCTTCTGATCTTCTCATTATTCCTGATCCTGATATAGTGTGATATAACCTGAGTTAGCACTTAATAAGCACTATGTCAGCTAAACCTACGCTTTCTGTCTTTAAAATTTGAGTAGAACAGGAGGTTCACATGCTTCAGTGAGAACTAAGACAAACAAAACCTTACTATTGATATTCTCCACGGCCCCCACTCCCATGCCAAAAGATTAAAAATATTTTTTTCAGGATTGTTGCTTGTGCTTCCTTGAGAGCAATGGCTAAGGCTTGTATCCCACCATGTCTCTAGTTCTTAGCCCAGTGCAGGAAACACAGTAGGCATCAATGTTTTTGTGTTAAAATAGTGAACTAGATGGTGAGCCACTTTGGGGGCTGTGTTAATTTTTTTCTATCTCACACAACACCTACAGCAATGTTTTACCCATAATCTCTCTGCTTATACTTGTTGATTGAAAACTTCATCACTGTATAAAATATTGACCTATTTTAATAAATATTTTTACTATATTAATGTATTCAAAAGGATTCCATTGCAGTGTCAGGATAAATTCCAGAAGCAAGGCGGCATAATGAAAACAGCTTAGCCTGAGAGTCAGGGGACCTGGATTACAAACTTGCAAGCAATCAATGAGACCTGAATGAAACTATTTAATTGTTTAGAGTTTCTGATTCCTCCTTTGAAAATAAGGGATTTGAACCAGATTGTCTCTGAGGTACTTTCCCACCCCAGTGAATCACTGATTCTAATTATACCAACCTGTATTTTGACATTCGTTGTCTCTCTGACCAATTCTTGCATGGTATTTCCTCTGCTACTGAAGACAAGATTTAGGTTTTCAGGGTCTGTTTCATTTGCCATTATCTGGCAAGAGTTGTTATCTTTCTCATCAAGAGCTAATAGTTCTGCAGCTAGACACCCTAATAGTTCATCTGTCAATTCTTCATTCTGTATAGAGTCTAATATTTCTTGGGAAATTGAATTTGCATCATTTAAACTTTTTCCAAACATTTGATGTGTAATTGTCTTATCAGCTAACCTATCATGATCCAAAGAATGTGCCCAAATTTGATATGCTTGGGAAGGTGCACTTTCTTGTCCCTCTTGGAAACAGAAACTCGTAAGTATTTTAGACTTATCTGAAACACTATCAAACTCTACATCATCAGTTAAAATTTGGTTGGCATTTATTTTATCAAGAGATGCTGTATTTTGCTTTTCTTGCAGTACATGCTTGTTGGAACTCTTCTCACTGTGCACTGCCCAGCTGTTTTCTGAAAGGTACACCTGGTGATGTACCTCTTCAAGTTCACGCAGGTCTCTGAGGCTTGTGGAAAGTATTTGATTGTTAGAAATGTCACCTTCATCGGCAGACTCCTCCATAGAGACTTCTTCAACAATGAACAAATCTGAAACAGGAAGGAATTTGTTCTGTTCAATGGGCTGCTCATGGGTCTGAGCAAAGTTCATGGGCTGAACTTCATCTTTAGAAGATAGAAAGTCATTTCCTGAAGGCTTTAGCTGCCACTCTAGTTCTGAAATATCACCGCCACTTTCAATGTCTTGTAGGTTGCTACCTGCAGCCTTACAACCCTTTTCTTTAAAAATCAAACTTTTATGCTTTTGTTTAATTCCAAGCAAAGGCTTTGGAGGTTTAGTGTGTGGTCTTTTCTGAGAAAGCCTTGCTCTGCTATTGCTGCTCCTCTCACCATGTGAAGAGCGGCATTTATTGGTGATACATCTGCCTGATGGAGCAGAGCATATCTCTCGATAATATTTGTTTTCATGCCGTTCAGCCTCTCTCATGTGACAATAAACAGGGGTCCCAAACATTTCATAGATTCCAGGTCCATTAGCAGTTGAATTGATTTCTTTAAACATGTCACTATACTTAAGATCTAGGTAATTTAGTCTTGGCTCTGTTGGTTGAACAGGGAGAGGAACTGAAGACTTTTTTATTCCTGGATTTTTACAGATGCAAGGAAATGACTGCTTTTTAGGTTTAAGAGCCCGGTAAGTTGATTGCTTATTTTCTATCTGTGGCATTCTCCTTTGAAACTTTGGTGATTGCTGAGGTCTGGGGTCAACAATCCCCAAAGCAGGGAAAACTTGAGTTTTTAGGCTTGTTTTATGCATGGTAGGCTTAATGGAACTTTCAATGGAAATCATGAAATTCTGAGGTGTCTTGTTACTGTTCTTGGTTTTTGAGTCCAACTTATGTCTATGGGTTTTTGTCTTATGCCTGTCATTTTCTTGGTGTGCGAGTATGTTGTAGCTATTGTTGTTACGAAGGGTGCCCTTTCTTTTCTGGAGGCTTAGTTTGGCTATTGCTGGTTCCTTGGGAGTTCCATCTCCAGGGAAAGCGATGGGGATAAGAGGCACCATCCCATTCACTTCTGGTTTGGTTGCCTCTGCTATTGATATTTTTGTGTTTGTCTCCATGCCGCTATGATCTTCTGGGATCTTTTCAATGGGGCCATCAGGGACGACATTGGAAAAACTTTTAAGTACAGTAAGCTCTTCTAAAACATAATTTGGCTCAATTAATTTACCTCTATGTACTAAAGTACTTTTTGAGGCAGCTTCATCATTTTTAGTCTCTTTATCTTTTAAAGTTATCTCCGAATGTTGGGTTTCTTGGAACTTGATTTGTATGGTGCATCCAACTTCTTTATTTTGTTCGTAGTTTCTGGCTACTGAACCCTCTTTCTTTCCTGATGAAAGATATTGAGAGTTTTCTTCTGTTTTTCTCATTTCACTACCACAGCAGTCAATATCCACTTCCCTATCTATAGGAAAACTTCTTTCCTTAAAATTCTTGAAGGACACTGAAGACTGCTCATTTTCAAAGTGAGAGATTTGAATTTTGTCATATTCTTCTGTTTCCTCAGATTTCCTATTCACCTCCATCTTCAGGTGTTGTCTGTGATGGTTAGCCTTCCAAAAAGAGCACATGTTTCTAGACCAAATAAAGTTATCAGAAGACCTGAGGGTCTGATCCACAAACACCTTAAACGGGGTTTCCTGTTGCTTGTTTGATGGTCTAAACTCATCAGATCGACCAACAGGCTCTGAGAGCTTAGGCATGAATGATATGAGGCTTGGAATATTTCTTTCTCTCTCTTTTTGATCCTTGTGATTTGGGGGGATAGTAAGGAGACCAGATCTCATGGGCGAGAGTGACAATGGTGGCAGAGGGAACTAAAAGGAAAGAGAGAAACAGCTAATAATTACAGAGATATATATGCATATCATGTTAACTGATTTAAAGTGATCTGAAGAGATTCTAAGATTCTCTTAGAAAGGCCTTGTACTTAGAAAGTACAAAGCTATCCTGGAGATCACAATTTTAAAAGCTAGAAGCTCATTCCCAGGGTCTTTTTTAGAACCAAGGTAAAACACACTTTTACAAATCAAGATTGTCGTAGTTACAAATGTTCATGGTTATATATATATTTTAAAAGGCTCTATAATGTAAACATTAAAAATGTACGATGAGATGTCTTATTTCTCTTCTGTTTTCTTTTCGTGTTCCATAGGGTTGATCTAAGATATTTAAAATTCCCACTTAGAACAGATTGAAATTGCTGTTCACATTTACTTTAACAATGATTATTAGCTTACAGACTAACTCAGACTTGTATCCAGAACACAACTACTCCTCATTGTTTTGCTAAACTGTTTTGTTGAGGGTGGCTTTTAAATACACCACACTAGACACTTGAAAGTTAGCAACCCTGATGGTTTTAAATTCTCCTTTGCCCTCCGTTTTCAAACTAAGCTAGTTTTTGTTATTATCAACCTCTAGAGGTCAGTGTAACCCAATATATAATATTCAGCTTTCTGGTCATTTCATGCTTCTTTTCATTGAAGCATTTTCCTGGGTATACGGATTTAATACCTAATTATATCAGAATATTTGTGAGCTGGATCTTGAGTGGCAATTGAGAGCTGTATGCTTCATTCTCATTCTATTGCCACCTGTGTGTCAGGAGAAAGGAAAAGGAAAGGAAGCTGACACTAGAAACTTCTGCATTAGAGTCAGGTGAGATGCACGGTAACCCCCCAGTTTTATTGCCTAAATGATTTTCTCCCATTTCTAAGAAATAGCAGGAAATAACATCGCCTTAAGAGCAACTTTTTTTTCCCAATAAACTCCTTTTTAAACACTAAGCAGTATCTATGCATTTTCTCGAAGGCGCCTGGATACAAAGCAGTTAGACAGTTGATAGAATTGCAAGGATCTTTCTAAATGCTTTATTTATAAATTTGACAACTAGGAAAATCTATCCACAACTGGAAAAAAGAATGGCCTAATTTCTAGATATGTTATAGAAGACAGATTAAAATATGTCTAAGAGAGCTACTCACCTCATTATGTAAAGAACAGGAAACACCCCAGTAAAGAAATGTACATGGCAAGGTATAATTTCCCCAGAAATTATTGGCTACTCTATAAACTATGTGTGAGTTATTGTTTTTCCAAATCTAATTACTAAAGATTATGGTTCTGAGTTCTTTGATAGAGTTTGTCTCTAACAGCAAAAGTTCTTTGGTATTAATCCTTAAGTCAATAATGCTAAAACTAATCTTACCTCAGTTCTTCGGCTATTGTACTTCATATCAGAGGTAGAAAAATCTATAGCAAGAAAAAATAATAAAAATTAGATATTCTTAATAATAGAGTGAACACAGCCAGCCTTACACCAGAGTTTAGAGATGAAATGATCTTGATACTGAGGCTTAAAAAAATAAAAATTAAGTTATTCCAAGTGCAATCCATATGGAAGTGGGTATGGTATGATTACACAATAGTTTAGGCTACTTCCACTTAAAAGAGATTTTTGTCATATATAATGTTGTTTCTCATATACATGTATGTTTATATATATATTATATATATTATATATATTATATATAACATTTGTATATATATATATATATGTTGATATGTAGTTACATATTTACCTTTACATTTATATTTATAGTCTAGCAGGAAATACAAGATCTCTGGATCAGAGAACAGAGCATTTATTATTCACAGGGCATCATAGTACCAGTTCCCCACACCCTAGTTCCACACAGGACAATGCATTGAGAGCCAGATGTTTACCTGCACATGTAATGGAGTTGCACCACAGGAATGAACCTTGAAATGATGAGACTCAGAGCTTATATACAGAGGGTGCCAAAGTATGTATATACATTTTGAGAAAGGAAAAATTATATTAAAATTGTAATACTCAATATATACCAATAACAGAAGATGATTACAAGTCATGTATATACATTTTTTTGACCCCGGTAGAGTGTTTGGCACTTCAACCTATCTTTCCCTTCTGAGAAAGTGAGAACTTCACTATAGAATGTAAGCAAATGTCTCCAAGAGAAAGGGGAAATGTATCTCTGGGTTTTATTACCCTACAACATAAGCCAACAGCTCCTGGGGAAATAAGCCTCTGAATCTCTCTGGAGCAAAACACTATCTCTAATTTCTAAGACGTGTGTATCATTCAATCATCTCTTAACCTAATTCCTAGTGCCATTTGCTCAAAAGCCTGGAATGTGCAAGTGTGAAAATATTCATGTATAATTGTTTCCCAACAGCCGTTTGAACTCAAACATGGAATACATCATAAATTCTGAAGGGGAGGTGTAAGGAGGAGAAAGAAGGATTTACTAGGTACTGTAAAACCTAGTTGTTGTCTTTTTACCAATAAGTCAGAGTGGGCCCTGAAACCCCACCCACTGCCAAAGCTTGAAACTGAAGCCAAAAGTGCCAATGTGTTCAGAGTCAAAGCAGGTCAAATAAATGGATGAAGTAGGACAGGTGAGGATAGTGGTCATGTGCCCCAATTGAAGGGATATCCATTACCAAGTTCTAATTGATACTGTCCATTCCAGATGGGTAATTCATTGCTGCTAGATTTCCCAATTGTCAAGAGAAGGCAGAAAGCTGGAGACTTTATGTGAAATCTCCCTCCGGCCCCCCTTTTTAAATGCTTTGAAAGCCAAACAAAATATGTCTGTGGGTCCATTTTATCCACTGACTACTGTTTTGAATTTCAATTAGAAACAGATCTCTCTAAGATGTAACACAGGTAAAGAGGGCATTCTCAGGTGAAAAGAAGTCACCTAAGATGAGGCTCCCAATTTGGAGGGGCACAGGCATTCCTCTTAGCCACTGTGGGCCAAAGCACCTCCCCCTAATTCTTTATGCATTTATTCAACAAATATTTATTGAGTGCCTTCTGGGCCAACACTGTCCAAGTAGATGGCAATATAGTTATGAACAACAAAGAAAAAATTCTCGACCTCCTAGAGGTCATCTTCTAGAGGTTGAGATTTCCTGTTGCAAAAATACTACAAGTTAATACCAGAAGTACAACTGAATATAATTTATAGTTGGGTGCATATGTATAACCTCCCGAGTTTAAAGAAAAACCTTTCAGGTATTATTATAAATACTTGGATAAATATTATCCAGTGTTGGTAAGAAATGACGTGTGCTATAAAGGCACACAACATTTCTGGCAAGAATGCAGATATAAGATATTTCTGGTAGAGGATTTTCTGGTCAAGATGGCAGAGTAGGTAAATGCTGTGCTTGCCTCCTCTCATGACCACATCAAAATTACAACTAAACTGCAAAACAACTATCATTGATAATCACTTGAAGTTTAGCTGAACAGAAGTTCTACAACTAAGGATATAGAAAAGTAGCCACATCAAGACTGGTAGATGGGGCTCCGATGTGGAATGGGTTGGTCCCACACCTGCGTGTGCCAGTTAAAAATTGGGAAATATCTCTTCTGTGGAGGTCTTCCCCGAGGAGTGAGGGATTCCAACTCTACACCAGGCTCCTTTGCCTAGGGTTCCAGTGCCAGGAAAAGAAGTCCCCAGAACTCCTGGCTGTGAAAACCAGCAGAAATTTTGGCTGAGTGAGATGAAGGGTTGCTGTACTCCCATGTGCTCCTCTTAAACGGCCCGTGCACAGACTTACTTGCTGATGGACTCACTCGCTCTGAGCTCCAGTGCTGGGGAAGCAGCTGGAAAGGTGACAGGGACATACAGGGAGGAACTGAATTGTCTGGCTTCAGGGCAAGGGCTGAAGAGACAGCTTTTTTCCAGACAGAAGTGCTGGCCCAAGCCATTATTTCTATGTTGAGTTCTCCCTGCTCCCAGCATGAAGTCTTAAGCAAGCAGCATATGAGTCTCCATCAACCTAGCTGACACCATTTGCCTTGCCTTAGTGATTCCCTGAGACCCTGCGCCACCCAATTTGTGGGACCACCCCAGCTGCTTCTAGTGGCTTTTACATACAGAGGGCCTTTCTTGGCTCATGCATTGGACTTCCCTAAAATCTCTCAAAGGTTCACAAACCCCAAACAGGATCTGGCCTCAGCATGTTCCATACATCTTGCTAAGCAGCCCCAAGCATGGTACTAGTGGCAGTTGGTCTTGGTTCACAACCTAGCCTTTCCCAGGCACCTCTAAGCCCAACACAGGTGGCATATTGCTTTGTGGCTCATTTCAGGTAGCTCTGGACAGGGCACAGACTGAGGCTAAACTTGGCCTGTGGTGGGGCTGGCACACCCAGTGGTGGGCTTCAGACACAGCTGGGGCACCACTGGCTGCCTCCATGGGTGAAACACATAAAGGGCAGACAGGGCAGGCACCAGAGCCCTGCTAAAGCAAACCCTGCTCTGTAGGGTCAGCCTCTGCACAACATTTCCTCCACTGTAGTAATGGCCAATCCTCAAAACCAATCAACCCGAGGATGAATCCTTCCCAGTGACTTTCAAACAGCAACCAAGGCTCAACTACAACAGGAGGGCATACACAACTCACACTAGGGACACACCTGGAGCACCCAGCTCGGGTGACCAGGGAGATTGCACCAGTGGGTCCCACAGGACATGTACTACATAAGGCCACTCTACTAAGACCAAAGGGCATAGCAACCCTACCTAATCCATAGACACAAACAGAGGGAAGAAGCCAAAATGGGGAGACCAAAAAAAATTCCCCAAATAAAAGAACAGAATAAAGCTCCAGAAAAAGAACTAAAAAAATGGAGACAAGCAATCTACCAGATGCAGAATTCAAAACACTGGTTATAAGGATTCTCAGTGATCTCAGTGAGAACCTCAACAAAGCGATAGGAAACATAAAAATGGAAATAAAAAAACATAAGAAAAGAACCAGTCAGAAATGAAGAATACAATAACTAAATAAAGAACACATTAGAAGGAATCAACTGTAGATTAGATGAAGCAGAGGATTGAATCAGCTATTTAGAAGATAAGGAAGCAAGAAACAACCAATCAGAACAGCAAAAAGGAAAAAGAATCCAAACAAATGAGGATAGTTTAAGGGACCTCTGGGACAACATCAAGCGTACTAACATTTGCATCATAGAGGTACCAGAAGGAGAAGAGAGAGCAAGGAATTGAAAACCTATTTGAAGAAACAATGATGGAAAACTTCTCTAACCTGGCGAAGGAAATAGACATACAAGCCCAGGAAGTGCAGAGAGTCCCAAACAAGATGAGCCCATAGAAGCCCACACCAACACACATCATAATTAATATGACAAGGATTTAAGACAAAGAGAGAATCATAAAAGCAGCAAGAGAAAAACAGTTCGTTACCTACAAGGGAGATCCCATAGGCTGTCAGTTGATTTCTCAACAGAAACTTTGTTGGCCAGAGGGATTGGCAGGAAATATTCAGAGTGATGAAAAGAAAGGACCTACAACCAAGATTACTTTACCCAGCAAAGCTATCATTTAGAATTGAAGGACAGATAAGAGCTTCCCAGACAAGAAAAAGCTAAAGGAGTTCATTGCCACCAAATCAGTATTACAAGGAATGTTAGAGGGACTTCTTTAAGAAGAAAAAGAAAAAAGATAAAAAATATAAATAATAAAATGGCAATAACTACATATCTATCAACACTTACTTTTAATGCAAATGGATTAAATGCTCCAATCAAAAGATAAGGTGGCTGAATGGATAAGAAAACAGACCCTTAAATGTGCTGCCTATAAGAGGCTCACTTTAGATCGAAAGACACACACAGATTGAAAGTGAAGGAATGGAAGAAGATATTTCATGGAGAAAAAAAAAAAAAGCTGGGATAGCAATACTTATACCAGACAAAATAGACCTTAAAACAAAGGGTATAACAAGAGACAAAGAAAGACCCAGTAATCCTACTTCGAGGTATTTATCTGAAGAAACCCAAAACACTACTTAAAGGGGACATGTGCATCCATATGTTTATTGCAGCATTGTTTACAATAGCCAAGATATGGAAGTAAACTGGGTGTCCATCAACAGGTGAATGGATAAAGAAGAGGTGGTACATATATATAATGGAATAATACTCATCCATAAAAAAAGAATGAAATCTTGCCATCTTCAACAACATGGATGGACATAGAGAGTATTGTGCTGAGTGGAATAAGTTAGACAGAGAAAGAAAGACAAATGCCATATGATTTCACTTATATGTGGAATCTAAAGAACAAGATAAATGAACAACCAAATCAGAAATACAGAAAACAATTTGAGCGTTGCCAGATGGGAAGGTTTTGGGGACAGGGTGAAAGAGGGAATGGAATTAAGAAGTACAAATTGGTAGTTACAAAACAGTCATGGGATTGTAAATTATAGCATAAGGAATATAGTCAATAATAGTATAATAATTATGTATGGTGTCAGATGGGTACTGGATTTATAGGGATGATCACTTTGTAAGTTACATAAATGTCTAATCACTATGTTGTATACCTGAAACTAATATAATATTGTATGTCAACTGTAATTGAAAAAAAACATTTTTAATTATTTTTTAAAAAGGACTTTTTTGGTTGGTAATTTGACAATATATGTTGAAATCCCTTTAAAATATGTATAGAATTCCAGTTGAAAAATTGAATGTATAAACTTTTCTCCACTCTCTTCACAAACGTCACTAAAATGATAGTAAAAAAAATTTTTTTTACATAAGAACAACACCCCCCTCCCCCAGGAAAAGAACAACAAAACCCCAGAGGATAAAACAGCAGATGAACAATGCCAACAAAATTTTTGATAGTGAAAACTGTATGGGTGAATAGCAATTGACTAGTTATCAGCTTTCTCTACTCTGCTCATTGCCTGCAGCGGGCAGAACGCAACAACAAATAAGAACTGCAGAAAGGAGCAGGAATTGAAGACACCAGGTACTCTAAAGGTGGGGTTGCAGGTGAGGCTGAAACAAAGGGTTGCTTGTAAATCTGTACAAGGAGCCGGTTCCAGATTCCCTGCCCTGACTAACTAATCAGGAGTTGCTCTTCAATGTTCTTGGCAGATAGCTGGAAGCTTACTCTCTGGAGAGCTTGAAACAAAGATGCTAATGAACTAGGTATAGCTGAGAGCAGAATGGGGTGCTGGAGTGAAAATAAAAGGATTAAGTGTAAACTTGCACACCTACATGTGAAGCCTCAGCCTTATCATCTACAGGCAGGAGCCTGGATTATCCGTCTCTAAGGAAAACCCACCAAGAGAAAAGCCTAGCTATACACACTCCTGGGGAATCCCTCACCCAACCAACCAGGTCTCTGCCCATTAACCAAGCCCCCTGGAGCGTGTGCCACTTTTTAATGCCACCCTCTTAAATACAAATAGATAGTTAAGGATCAACTGAAATGTGAGAAAAACCTCTACTGTGAAAATACAGAGAACAAAACAAACTAAAAGAAAGAAAATTGCTCAGAGGAAACAGAGACAATGAAAAACTATCACTAATGCACCTTTCTCAGGAAGCTACTAGGAAATGCACCCAAGAGAGAATAAATAAACCAAAAAAGAGGAAGCTGAGTGTCCAGTACACAGGGGTCCAATACAGCAAGGAAGCTCAGGGAATTTCCAGGATGATGGTGAAGGAATCCCAGGCAGATGGCTGGTCAGTGGGTCAAAAAGACCAAACCACAGAGTGAAACAGGAGGGCAGAGGGTTCCAATGGATTCCCGGCCCTGCAGCTGCCTGAATGGAGGTGCATTTTACAGGTCCATCAGACAGGATGGGGATGAATTAGGGACGAATATACAGAAAGTAAGCGAATAATGAAATGAGGCATTTACTAATACGGAAATAAATGTAATGTCTCAGAAGAAGGAAAATGTATTCATAGCACACCAATGAGCTCAGCTGTGAATAATATTTTACCCAGTCATAATAATGGAGACATTGACTATTGATTTCTTCTAAACACTAAGATTGAGAAGATTGGGAAATGCCTGTGTGTGAGGAAAGTAATGAAAAGTGTTACATCCCAATAGATAAGGTCTAAATTGAACAATCAAGCAATATCATTATAAACATGTTATTTAGAAATATAGAAGAACATTCTAGAGGGGTCGGCAAACTGCGGCTCACAAGTCACATGCGATTCTTTGGGTACTTTCTGTCTCAAAAGTTTGCCAACCCCTGGAAGAGCCAATCCTGTCCCTCACAACAATTTAAAAATTATTTGAGACCCATAAATATATTTTTACAAATAAGGAAAATTTAAAGTAATATTATAAATGAAACTATGATAGTTTTATTTTCATTTTCAATTTTACTTCAGAGCCGCATGTACATACCCTAAGAGCTGCACGTGGCTCGTGAATCGCAGATTGCCAATCCCTGGCGGCTCTTCCATCTCAGAAGTTTGCCAACCTCTGTTCTAGAAGAAAGTATCTTGGAATACTATTTGTACTTCTTTTTTAAAAAAATATTTGCTCATCTGTCTTTTCTGAATTCTTCTTAATTGATATATATTGTCTAATTTTTAAAAATTGTATTTAAACAAATAAAAAAGGGGAGTACAAATACCGGCCTGGGGAACCCCAGTTGATATTTTCAGACAAGATCATAGCACCTAAGGAGCAGCTCCCATTATAGACTGTGGACTTAACCATTCTTGTCTAGGTGTACATAGTTATTTTTGTTACATCTTCGAGATTTTCTGTGGTTTGGCTGAAGAAGAGGACGTTCCCAAGTTGTCTAATGCAGTCTCTCCTTCCACAACCCCTCCAAGTTTGTACTTGCACCAACTGCCCCTTCTTTCTCTAAACCATCTCCACTATAAGACTAGATATGTTTATCCTTTTTTCCCCCTCATAACTAAAGTGGGACTCAAATGAAAGGTGTGAGCTTTGAACACAGATGGCATTGGTGCTTCAGCACACTGGCTTCAGAGACAGGTGGTCCAGGCTTTGAAGCCAGCCTCTGTCATTCACTGGCTATGTGACCGAGGCACACACACACTTAAGCTTCTTAAGCCTCAGTTTCTTCATTTCTAAAACGAGTATGCTAATATGACCTATATCAGTGGACATTTGTGCCTTGCAACAGTAGACACTCAATAAACACTTATTATTGTTATGACTAATTCAATATATACTTTTTAAAGAGTTATGTGCCAGACCTGGTGCTAGGTGCTTGGAGTTGGGATGGCTTTTGCCTTTGTGATCTGGTGAAGACAGACACATCAACAATAGTGACAATTCAACCTGATGAATGTCATGATGCAAATAAAGTCAGGCAGGACTCTATGGGAGTCCAAAGGAATGGTGACTCATCTAGCTTTCGGGAAGTTCAGGCAGACTTTCCAGAGGAAGTGGTATTTCGGGTGACACCTGAAGGATGCCATAAGGTTCCAGCAGAAAAAAAGCAGCATGTGCAATTATTTACATATTTGTTCTGGGAAATTTAGGAGTGCTCATGTTTATCACACTGCTGAGGAACAGTGGCAAGGTAGGAGGCTGAAGAGAGGCTGCTGAGACTTAGAGCTACCTTTGTGGATTTCAAGGACCACAACTCTGGGTCTACTTCACTATCTAGACCTGATGTTAACACCTTTACATACAGCCTGTCAAAACGCTGCTTCAACATTATGGTAACGGAAATAAGCCAGTCACAAAAGGACAAATATTGTATGATTCCACTTATATGAGTGGAGTAGCCAAACTCATAGAGACAGAAAGTAGAATAATGGCTTCCAGGGGTTATGGGGGGAAAGGAGAATGGGAGTTATAGTTCAGTGGGTATAGAGCTTCAGTTTTTGCAAGATGAAAAAGTTCCAGGGATTGATCGTGGTGATGGTTGCACAACAATGTGAATGTACTTAATGCCACTAAACCATACACTTAAAAACAGTTAAAATAGTAAATTTTAAATTATGTACATTTTAACACAATAAAAACACTTTCTTAATTAAAACAAAAACACTGCTTCATTTAAATTTCACTTAGGCTCTACCCATTCCCCCAAATCCTTTAATAATAATTTTATTTTCTTCCTTTCTTTGGTGAGATGCCTCATGTTCCCCTGCTGTGTGATCTCCCTCATTGCAATAAGTCAATACATGCAACTTTTTGGACATGTTTGTCCTTGGTGGTTTAGGCTGATTGGTTCAGGACAGTGGTAAGCAAACATCAAAGACAGCATTGCCCTAAGGGGAAATGCTGGCAGCAGTGCTGCTACCTGGTAAGTCAGTCTTGGGCTGGATAGAGTGGTAAACTCAAATCCTGGAGGGAAGCATCCTCAGTGTAGGCCGCGAAAATTCCCACAGATAAACATCAACAAAATATGAGTTCACAGTAAAAATTTTCAAACACTCAAGAAAAATATACATATTTGTTCAATGAAGGATAAAGAAACGACTATGTAATTAAATGAACTCACCTTCAGATTTTCTTTGCTGGCCCTTCAGAAAGTGAGAAACATCTTCTCTGACTAAAGACTTGGAAATGTTTGGCTCCAAGCAAGGTCTTGGCACCAAAAAGCCCAAGTTCTCATCGCAGAGCTCCTTGGAACTTTCCTCTTTCTTCAGAAGTGAAGGCTGCATAGTTGGCATCTTTGTCCTGACGTCCATCATCTTAATTTCATTTGGAAGAAAAACAGAATGTGCTTGTGCCCATTCCTGATGCACTGCGGTTATCTGACTAAAAGGTGGAGGAAATGGTTTGATTTAAAACTCGTTGCCTATGTCTTCTGGATCTCCAGTGCTCAGTCCAGCTTGACATCACTAGGAAGTTTGGAGAACTATTTCCAAATAATGCTTCTGAGTAGAATGGCTGCATTCCTGAAAGGACAAGAATTTCCTACCCCTGACTCCCACCCCACCTGTCTGACCTCTGCACCCACACTTTAATTTTCCCAGTCCCTATTTCTTTGAACAGAGAAATCAGAGGGACAAAGGGCAGGCATAGGGGATACAACCTTTTACTTCTCCAAAGGCATCAACCAGCCCAGTGCTTCTCAAACTATCTTTGGTGAAAGGCCAGTTTGTAAATTTTCCAGACCCTTGAGGACTGACACTTTTGGAAATTGTAATAAGAGTGAATTATGATAAAAATGGAATGAAAACCAAAACCACAAAAATAAGTCCCAATTTTTCATGATCAGATCCATGAACATAAAATTACTTTGACAAATTGCTATACAACTTTGTAAATGTTTAAATTTTCAAGTTTATACTGATTTCATCATGAACTGGTATCAGAAGAACCACAGAACCACATTTTAAGTAGCACTGATGCAAGGAAAGCAAACTGTGGTCTCCATTCTGGTTTTGTAGATTTACTGGATTGTAGCCATATGCATTTGTTTTCAAATAGTCTATGGCTGCGTTCAAGATACAGCTGCAGAGTTGAATCACTGCAATAGAAGCTAAGCCACAAAGCCTAAAATATTTATCTGGCAACGACACAATATTTGATATGACGCATGCTTTCAGGTGGTTTTTTTTTTTGGTTGACTTACTAAAAATGTAGGTTGCCACACAAGTATCCCTTCATACTTAAATTTCAGTCTAACACTTCTTACTTGTTTTCTTTTAAAACTTCTTGGCTCATTTCTTGGGGGTGATGGACATCTCTTGGAAAAGTAACAACAATCTCGACACCTATAGAAATGCATGGCAATAGTAGAAAGAAAAAAAAATGAATTCCAGTGATGACCAAGAGAAGTGTTTTAGTTTTGGTTATGTGGTTAATCTATTCTTAATGATTACAGAATGGAATTATCCAGGAACTGAGGTTTAGCCACCTTTGTATCTTTCCTGTCTAGCATATGTTAGGTCTCAAATAAATGCTTGCTTAAACAGCAAAACATTGCATATCAAAACTTTCCAGATGTAAAATAAAGTTTTATGGTGAGCAGTGTTGTTTCTATGATGGAAAAAACAGGGCCACTTTTACACTTTACACTTCTGTAAAGTGTAACTGATGACACCTACTTCACAGGACTGTCGTGAGAATTAAATGAGATAATTTATGTATTTCTAAAAGCTTGCTCATATTTGTAATTTTGGTCATCTCCTGTCTGATTCCATGGAATGATTCTCAGTATAACCCTCAAGTCAGAAAGTTCCAACTTTTGGAATCGATGCTTGCTTACAATATACCATGTTAAACAAAAATACCTAAAAAACTACTGTGAGTCATGTCAAAATTGTCTATGCCTTAAGGTTTGTTCACTTATTCACTTTTTCCATTCAACTAACTTTTATTAAGTGTCTATGCCAAGCCCAATGCTTTGTACTGAAGATATAGAAATAAACAAGGTGCATCTGTGGCCCTAGCAAAGATGATAGTGGAGTACAGTGAGATTGGCATTGTGATAGAAGTGTGCGAATGGTTATGTGGGAACATAGAGGAGCATCCTTCTAGGAAGATACAGTGCTTATCCCAGTAGTCTCTTCTATCCATGAATTTGTCAATCATTTATTCAGTCTACACATCACTCCTCTGCCACATACTGGGTGACCTCAGGGAAGTTACTTAATAGCTATCAGTATCAGCATTATCTCAATTAAGGTTTTTATTATTTTTAAAGGACTTTGGATATTTTGTCAAATATATAGGAACCACCATAATGAAAGCATTTTTACTGTTCAATTTTAATGCCTGTGTTATTTATGAGACTGGTGCATTAAGAAAGGTAAATATTCTAAAAGGAAAAGTTTTGTTTATAATCAGGCAAATGATAATAGTATTTACTATCTTCCTCACCCAATATTATGTTTTGTGGTATCATGAAAATGGAACTAGCTTTGGTTTTCTTGATGTTTATCAAATAATATAACTGGATCACATGTTTTCTAATATACCATAGCAAAAAAATGTGTCAATAAAAATGCAATTTCTTTGTAATGGTTGATATATATTTTTTTAACTTGTCAAAGATCCTCTCACCACACTACTTACGTAGCACAAAATGAGAGGCTCGGAATTGCTGTGTAGAGCTGGAAACAACTTAGAGGTCATCTGACCAAAGCACTTCATTTTAGGGACAAAGAAACTAATACCCATGAGGTTGTATGGTGTGCTCAGGGCCACTCTTATACTTGAAAGGAAGATGGATGTCTTTCATAACGTTTTTGTAATCATCCTTGAGTGCTAAAACCTAGCTGACATGTTACAGTAAGAAAAACATACAGCATACATTCCTAATAACTAAACTGTCAGTGAAAAGGATGTTCTGGTACAAAGGCGCAATGCGGTTACTCCTTTGCTGTGAAAGTTAGGAAATTACGCAGTGTGTTCATGTGAACATGTTCTTAGCAATGACTGTACTTTTACAATTATTGAGTACTAGAAAAACCAGAATATTTTTAAAGCAAATTTTATGTGTCCAAATGTATGCTAATTGGTTGATTTCATTTTCAAACCAAAGATCAAAGATACAGTAAGCAAGTATAAGAAATACCAGCTTTTTTAGAACTTGTTAAAAGCTAATGGGTTTATCCTAATTATTGGCCCTATGTGGGGGAAAAATTTTTTTTAAATGTGCTATCTCTGAAATAAGCTAGGAACATACAAATGTGTTCTATGTTTTGTCTCTTGAACATGTGAATAGTCATGAGAGTATGTGAATGTATCCAGTGAGCCAGGAAAGGTGATGTATTGTTACGTGGAAAAATGAAATACTTGCTTCTGTCTAAGTGCATCCTTCCACATAAGAAGGTTTAAATTAACCTTACCAGAAAATGTTACAGTAGAGAGAAACTAAGAGGCAACACTTAAACATAGGTAAAACATAATTTCTTCACAGAAGAGGTTAAAATGACATTCATAAAGTCTGAAAATGTTTGTTAATTTGTAATGTTAAAGCCATTATTAAAATGAAAACTTAAAATTGACTCAGCCTAATTCATTCAATAAAGAAAAGTTATTTTCTCCAGAAAAGTCTTACTCTCCTGTGTTTTCTGTTTATTTTTTTAAATAGATGGGGATCAAGTTTCACAATATGTATTTTGATAACTTCTCCACATTTGATAATTTCCTAAATCATAAATCTCAGCACAGAATTATCAAAAACTACATTTTCCAGCCTCTTTTGCCACTAGAGTTCAGAAAGATAACTTGAGAGATGGATTCACGAGTTATATGAAAAAAGATCACGTGTAGGTATCCTTTTTGCTGATGTGGGTGTCCGCAGAGGGAGGAGATTATAAAGTCGATGTGGGAATATCCCTGGTTGTGGCAGAAGCTGCATGATTTGGGGTCAGTAACATTTGAGATGTTATTATATTAACCAATATATATTAGTTAGTGATTCTCCCTTCTTTTTTAAAAAAAATTTTTTTTTTATTGGGGAATTGGTGGATGGGAACAGCACTGGGGAATTGGTTAAGGGAAACAGACAAGTTGCTGTCGTTTTGTTCTCCAGTCTAGTTGTGGAGGACGTTGCTTCACTGGCCCAAGTTGGCACCATCATTGCGCTCTTCCCGGGCGAGGCAGATCAGTCGCCGGCTTCTGGACGGCCGCTCACTGCGGCTGCTGGCTGCTCACGCTGGCTGCTGGCTACATACGGTAGCCCATGGCAACCCACTGCCACAGGGATTGCAGCCTATGCCGTCGCGCGACTCACAGCAGCCCAGCTCCAGGTCGAACTGCTGTTCAGCATCTTAGCTGTAGAGGGCAGTGTCACTGTCCCTCATATGTGGGATCTGAACCGGGGTCCTCTGGCGTCCTAAGCCAGTTCTTAACCATCGCGCCACTCGCCGGCCCGTGATACTCCCTTCTTAATAGAATAATACAGTGGACAAACAGACATAAACTAAATGATTAAATGTGTATATCTATAACAGAATAAATAGTCACGTGGTATATGCATAAGCTATTCATAAAGTGTGCAAGCACTGAAAACATTACTGTGTGACTGAAAAGAGTAGTTCAACTGAAGACTTTATCAACTATGAGAAGAAAATTTAGAAATATAATTGTTTCTTACAAATTTATAACCCAAGTTATTAAAGCTTAAAACTGCAAGAGCTGAATGGAAATGCTGTATAAGTGTTATGGCTCCTATAGGAAAACCTAAAATATTACAAATTGATTTAAAAAGAGTTACTAACACCTCAAATGGCAAGTCATCTCCAAATTGAGCACAATAAATGATTTAACCTCTTGAAGGTGCTTGGGACACAACTGGGCATCTGAAAACTCGACTTTGAAGTTTTTGAATGTCAAAGGCAGACCACAAGGAAGTGTTTGGAAGGGAACCAGGATCTGTTTATTTTAATTAGGTCTTTCAGGCTTCATAGTGTTAATAATTTCAAATGTTACTAAATTATTCCCGTCCCTCAGCCTGGGGAAAGATTTCAGGTGAGACTGAGAAAGGCAGGAGGCTCCCCAGGAGAGGGCAGCATCGCATAAGGGGCTGAAGGAGACAGTCGCAAGATTAGGTCTGCAGCACTCAGGGAGCGTCACAGGGATGAGGGAGAAAAGACATCTAAGAGGTCAGGTTCCCTGGAGTGTTAGAAATGGAAGTCAGAAAATTGCCAGAGAGAAATTGCAGCAGTTTGAATAAACATTTGATTTGAGAAGATTATAGGCGAATAGGGATAGACAAATGTGATTGCTGTGGTGACTGTTTTCTGAAGCGAGAATCTGCAAATACCTTGTGGTCTGTTAAATGCAAGGACACTTTAGGGTATGACAGGGTAATATATTTGGAATGGGTGTTGTTTTGAAAAATTCCAGACTTATGCCTCGCAGAATAGAAGACGGAGACTTGGAGCTTTAGTGCCTTGTTCAGTCCCCCATCGCCTCTCAAGGGAGGGATCCGGGATAACAGCTGATGGACAAATGCTTGATTCTGAAAGGGAACAGATCCCTGTTGCTGATGGAAGATTCTGAGAGGAAAAAAATGGGGTGGGAGGATATTATCAGACAAAAAGAGAAGTGGCAGAGAATGGCTGGCTGAGCTGGAGTGGGGTGGAATAAAGATAAGAGACAGTAGAGGGATGCCTATTTTGGCAGGGCAAGTTGACAGGACTCACTGATTCAGATATGGACCAAAGGATAGGATTATGAGTGGTTTCTCATTTACTTTGTGCTTTTCTGTGTTTTCAAAGTTCTGCATTGAGCATTTCTGAAACGAGGGGGAAATTCCAAATAATCGTTATCTTTGTAAACACTTGAAGGACAGAAGTCAAGATACCTTCTGTCCCGGGCTGCCAATCTTGTCCATCACCACTTCGGTCCTCTTCTTCACTAACTGATATGGAACGACTGCATGCATCTTCTTGGTCAAACTCCTGAAATATCATAAAATAGAAGCTCAGTTATTCAATGTGCTACTTTGTTGGCAGGGTAACTGTTGATTTTTCTAAGCTAAAGTTTCACACTGTGGATTCCTTTTAAATTGGATAAAGTATTTAGGACTAAAATAACGGGAAAGTATCTGCCCCCAGAGCATCAGGCTCAGACAGACGTGGATGTGATTAATTGCATAATCAAAAACAAAGATCAAAGCTGAAATCATACAGACACATAGAAATTCAATATTTCATACTTTATCATGTCAGCTTCTAGGCTATTAAGCTGCTGCCACAAATTCCATCTGGGCTGGTAGCTGGATAGAATCCTTTGTCCACAGTCACAGTGAACAACCCCCAGGGAACATGATATTTTCCACATGCCTCCCTGAAGCATCATTTACAAACAGCAAGGGTAGAAATCTCTGCCCCACATGGAAGCTACGGGTAGAACCCAAGATTGAAAGGAGGCATTAAAGCTGACTAAAGTTTTACTCTGCCAGCTTCCTGATCTAATCATGGTGTTCAACCTTTCCAACTTTTACCCTCTAGAAAATAATCATTATGCTGAAAAACATGGTTGAAAACCAACTTGATTTATAAAAGGTACACTAAACTCTCAAAAGAAGAAACATTTTCTTATTAGAATTCGTTGTTGATAGGTTCCTTCATTAGAAGTTGTTGCTGGTGATTTGGCCCTTTTTAACGTCTAGAACAGTGATAGATGCAAGTAGTAGTTACAATATCCCATCATAATCCAGACATTGCAATGAGCTCTCTGGCTTCTCTGATATGGGTGAACACCTATTTAAGGAGACTGTTGGATAAAAACGTCTTTGCCCTAAATGCAGACATCTGCTGTCTGGGGGTTCAAACAAGCAGGCAATCTTTATCACAACACCTCTGATATTTCATTCATCGTGTGCCAGAGAGAGTGGGCAGCAGTTTATGCTTTTAAAAGTATTTTCTACTTCCTGGCAAAGTTTAGGTGTCCTACTCAGACTGCCTTGGTTGTCAGTGGCAGATGAGAGACCTGGACTGGTTCACCCTGATTTTAGACTGTTGTCCCTTTCACTGCTCACCCTTCTCTACATTTCAAAAATTATACCAGGACCTGGCACGTTTCTTCTCCCTCCCATCCAATTACAAAGAAGGGGACAGTGAGTCTTTTTTAGAATATATGGAAATACGAAGTAGTGTTTTTTTAAAAGCAGAAAAACAATCACCTATAATCCTAAATAAAAAGCAAAGACTGTTAAAGAATGTTACAGAAATCATATTTCCTTTATCTTTTTCCTAAGAATTTAAAATACAATTGCATCATATAATTTTATATCTTTTTTCTTATATATTTTATATATTTTTAAGATTTTTTAATTTAAAAATATAGCTAACATACAATATTATATCAGTTTCAGGTATACACCATAATTATTCAATATTTACCTACCTAAACAAGTGGTCAGCATGATAAGTCCAGCAACCATCTGACACTGTACCAACCACACTATCACAATATTATTGGCTATCTTCCCTGCGCTGCACATTACATCCTCATGACTTATTTGTTTTATACCTTGAAATTTGGACCTCTTATTCCCCTTCACTTTTTCTCCCCTTTTTAAAATTTTCACTTACAGTTAACATTTGATATTATTTTTTTATTAATTTCAGGTGTACAGCATAGTGGTTAGACATTTGTAGAATTTGAGAAGTAATTCCTCTGACTAGTCTTGTACCCACAAGGTACTATACATAGTTATTACCATATTATTGACTATATTCCCTGTGCTTTACCTTACATCCCCATGACTATTTTGTAACTACCAATTTGTGCTTCTTAATTCCTTTACCTTTTTTACCCTGTCCCCCCAACTCCCCTCCTATCACCCCAATAAATCTATTACCTATCTGACACCATACATAGATATTATAATATTATTGATTATATTCCTTCTGCTATACCCTACATCTCCATGACTACTTTGTAGCGACCAACTTGTACTTCTTAGTCCCTTCCTGTTTTTCACCCACCTCCCTAAACCTCCATTCCATCTGGCAACCATTGAAATATTTTTTGTATCTATGAGTTTTTCTGCTTTCTTTGTTTGTTAATTTTATTCTTTAGATTCCACATATAAGTGAAATCACATTGCACCTGTCTTTCTCTGTCTGATATACTGCACTCAGTACAACACCCTCCATTCATGCTGCTGC